GGGGGTGGGAGACATATCAGAGAACTGAAAGACGATGAGTTCATGTTCAGTGAACAAGCGTGTGTATGTATTTGATCTTCGGAAAACTGCACTGACATAGAGAAATGCATTGACTGCAAGGAGCTGTTTCCACATAGAGCCTTTTTCATGAGCACCAGCGTGTTTTTGCATTTGTTTTCAATGAGGAGAGATTGCATGCCATCGTATGCAGTTGCCTCGAGAAAAAGCACTTCACCCAGCGTCCTTCTTTCTGAGTGTTCTGCTGTTCTGGTGCTCAGAGCAACTCAACTTTTACATTTTCAGAGAAACACAGCAAGGTTTTGGCCCTGTCTTAAGAACACTAACAAGCATAAGAAGACCTAAAAGCCCACTTATTTGAGCATATCTCTCAAGCGGAGTCTGAATGTCGCTGCCAGTGAGTGTTGAACTTTCATCTCCGTATGTGGATTGCCCTCCTTGCTCTACGGCCTGGCAGATTGAGCGGTAAAGTGTAAGAGCAAACATCTTCCGGTTGGGGTTCAATCAAAAACAATGTCAACCCAATAAGCCCAATATACAGTATATAGCTCAGCCTTTAGTCTTTTATATATATATATATATATAAAAGACTAAAGGCTGAGCTAGTCTGTTGAACAAAAGCAATAAAATGCTGTCCAGATATTGTTGTCAAAGAAACATAAAGAAAAACATGAATTTGCTGTTCCTGTGTGTGGTGCTCACCTGTGATGCGCAGCACCTGCAGGCTGACCAGAGGTCTGAGGGTGGCGGGGCCGATGGTGTGGAGGTTATTCCTGCTCAGGTCCAGCAGAGCCAGAGAGCTGAGCCCGACCAGAGCCTGCTCCGCTAACATCTCGATGCTGTTGTGCTGCAGGTGGAGCTCCTGCAGGCGCTGCGGAGACATGGAGGAACTCTACGTATCAGCTGAGCCTCATAGTGTCATGAGCCGAGACGGGCATCTTGCATAGCTTTAAATTAAGTTCAAGTCATAACAACATAACACACATGCCTTACCTGTAAACCACGGAAGGTGTAGTCCAGCAGGCGTGTGATGTCATTTCCTGCCAGGTAAAGAATGCGCAGATGTTCGAGTCCCTGGAACATGTCAGCTGTCACCAGGTGGACCCGGTTCCCGTTCAGAGCCAGCTCCAACAGCTGACCCTGGTTCTGGAAAGAGCCAGGCTCCACTGCTGAGATGCTGTTGTTCTGGAGGAAGAGGAACCAGACCATAATGTTTGATGCTGCTGGGTAAAATAAAACGTGTGCCTTTTCTCCTTTGCTTCTTCTGTTCCTGCCTGGACACGGATCTACTTGTTATCCCAATTGGTTAGAATAACCCCAATCACCCACAGTAAAACACTGACTGGAACTTTATTAGTTTGTTTTTTCCATCTCAGCTCCACGGAGTGTAACCCAGTGTTAGTGACAAATGAAAACAGACGCTCTGAGGCTTTCACAAATGCCTGATTGAAAAATGGAAAATGCTTTTCATTACCTTTCAATTACTATACATCAAAGTGTGTGTGTGTGTGTGTGTGTGTGTGTGCGTGTGTGTGTGTGTGTGTGTGTGTGTGTGTGTGTGTGTGTGTGTGTGTGTGTTACCTGCAGGTACAGGTAGTGCAGGTGTTTCAACAGAGTCAGGTCCTGACGACGGATCTGACCAATCACATTGTCCTGCAGGAAGATGGTCTGGAAGAGGAAGAGAGACGGAGAGTTAGGGTTTATCCTAAAACCTAATTTTGCTTCCTCATTTCCTTCATAATAATCAATGGCTTCTGAATATGTATCTTTATGTTTAGAGCTTGGTTTTGTTCAGATGTACTTTGTATTGAATGTTGTAATTCAGAAGAAGACAAATGTGAGCAGAAGATGTATTAGACTTATTCATTGTATTCATATATCTACTTTACTGAACTGTTTGACATTCCGTTTCGATTTCTGGGAAAGTGATCAAGGAGAGAGAAGTTGAGAATGTTCCAAATAATTAAGACTTGATGGTGAACTGTGTGTGGATGTAACGCAGCAGTAGCGTCCTCCCTGAGTGGGTGCAGCTACCTGTGTGGAGGGGGGGACGTGTTTGGGGATGTCCCTCAGGCTGGTGGAGCCACACTCCACTGTGAGGCTGTAGCAGCGGCAGCTCACAGGACAGGAAGGAGACGCTCCACCCAGAGTGTGGAGGGAGAGGAGCAGCACGCAGAGAGGAAGCAGAGGGAACACCGCCATCACTTACTTGATGTCAGCTGATACTAGACAAGAAATACAGATATGGTTGAGCTCATTTAGAAATTCACTTAAAATAAAAGCTGATTTTGGATTTAGGGGATACAAAAAGGCAAGTTGTTGTTTTGTTTTGTTGACTGTATGTTAATGAGTTTGTTTTGCAGAGTACATGTATAGACGAACTAAGTCAATAAAGAAAAAGTAAAGAAAAGAGAAACCTGAATGTTAGTTTATTTTGATGTCAAATATTCGTCCCATCACAATCAACCTACAATTTGTATACACATACAATACAGGTGTATGCACAACATGTCAACGTTCTTTATCTAGCATGTATCCATGCTAATATTATGGATAATGGACAGTATAGATGTATTATTATAACTCAACAGTATCAGTGGGCTACAGAGACCCAGTGCTATCCTTCTACAGCCTGCTCAAATGACCGAGCTGTCACCCTTGATGAAAACCTCTCGTGGTAAGTGTTTCTGCTTTGTGTTGCACATTGTAGCTTTTAGAAAAAGGCTGTTTGTCTCGTTTCATACAGAGGCATCCAGCTTTCCTGCACAGTCCCTTTTCAGAAGTATGGAAGGGCATCTGTGTGCAATTATCTCGAGGATATTACAGAATGAAAAATACATATGTCACAATATGCTAATGATAATGGGCTCAGTAATATTAAAAAAAGTGATGAGATCTAGCAGGAATGAAAGAATTGGAAGCAACCTTTTAAAAGCACACACCTAGGTTCAAACAGACTTGAATGGACTTCTAGCCACTGAACCTGGATCAGCTCATGTCAGGTATACAACACAGCAGCATGGAGTCCATATTGTGAAAAGCTACCTTATATTTCCTATCCTTTTCCCTCAAAGGGGGTTTGAATAAATACGTTCAGAGGTCTATTATATAGGGTTTCAGTAAAAACAAGAAGACACACAAACCTGCAGGAAGTGTGTGTCTAACCTGTCTGATCATCTGACTGGGCTCTGGTTTCAGACAGAGGGTGAAAAGAGGTGCTGCGGCACAGGCAGTATGAGAAAAATAAAGAGCTTTTTGAACATTAAAGCATGGAAACATGTCCATACAATTATGAAACCTGACAATAAGCAGAATAGGGCCCCTTCAATGTGTTATCTTGCCTGTACAAAAAGACTCTGGAAACCCTCAATAATACAAATCCAGATGTGTTTGTGCCAGAGTAACGCTGCTGTGTGATTTGAGAAAACACTTGACTGACTGAAAGAATGAATCCTATCAAGTGAAGTGTGTGGTAACAGCAGCTCTACAGGGATTAAACACTCGTTGTGACACGGCTGCAGATTAAAGCTCTTTTGGATATGCGTCTCTGTCTGTGAATGACTGTTGCCATAGGAACCATGAGGCAAGAGGCATTGACGATGGATACAAGCATCCATCATCAAGGCCTTCCTCTGTTCTAATGGAGAAACATGTCTCTATCAAATCAGGTTTTAGGGATACTATTCAGTTGAGTTCCCTTACTTCTAATATCTGACTTCAACTGACGTGCAGCTGTCAATCATAACAGGATATACACATATAACAGGATGCTAGTTCAAAACATCCCTTACAAAAAAGCCATCCAGGAAATAAATAAATGAAAATAAAAAAGAAATATATATTTGATGTTATACTAAGCCACTAGAAATATAAAACGTGTATATCTTTAATACAAAGGCAGCCTAATTATATGAAGAAGTTTGCATGAGAAAGTAAGAAAAGGAAATGTATGTATGTATTTATTCATTAGTTCTTCATTCATACTTTTCTTATTGTATCATCAATTTACTTGCATGTTCAAGGAGCCCTGTTTAGCTCATTTTCAGGTTCATATTTGTATTGTGTGCCTCTACTGTGACATGTCTTTTCACCCTCTGTCTGAAACCAGAGCCCAGTCTGCTCCGATTGGTTAGCTCGCCGGCTCTGTTGTGATTGGTCAACCACGTAGAGAAGTCCCACCACAATCACGTACAATGTGTTGGAGCGCTAGTCAATAGAAGCGTGAGTGTTAAATAATGATGTCACTTTGTCGCAGAAGTAAGCAAATTAGTCTAATGGCAGCGTTTCAGGCAGGGGGGGAGTGTGTGGGTAAAAACTATAACACAAATGATATTTTGCCCCTGATGTATGGAAGTAGGATAACAAATGATAAGCACCTCTCAATACAATATAGTTCAGTACAACCCAACCATTCAAAAATAAGCTCATGATTTATTACATTTACACCTTCACCTTTCCAACAGAAATTAATATTCCAAACTCTGAAATGGTTTGGCAAGGCTGTATGAGAATGTGCACATACCCTATCAATTAGCAATTGAGTGTTAAATGTGGTTTCAATGTATTTGAATTTAAAATACAATGAAGCCATGATGAAACATATTGTTTATATTCTTGGCAATCTATTTTGAATAAATTGTATACAATATAGCCAGGCTCGGTGTTAAGCACAGCAGACAGTGAGTGACAGATGGACTGACAGCAGCCAACAATGGAGCCATGTGTCTCCTGCTCTGTGAGACACAATGTCCACTGTGCTGCAAGCCACATCACACAACAGCAGGAAAACAGATGTGATCCAGCCTGCAGCAGCCTCAGGAGCAGACGTGTTGTTGTTGTTGTTTCATACCTGCTTTATGGAGGATGGAGGACACTCCCACAGTGATGCCTGCCCGGTTGCACGACGCCTTCTAAATCTTCTAACCCAGGCTAAATATTCCCGATGAGCCCATCTATCTGTTGAAGAGGAGCCAGGCACCTGGAGGCAGAACAGCGGCTGAAGGATGTTTCCTCACTGTGACGAGCAGCGCGGGCCCGTCGCATCCTAAGAACAGAAGAACCGCTGGAGGAAGAAGGACAGCAGAACATCAAGGATGGGTGATGGGGGGGGCGTGAAAGAACCACAGGTCGGTGGGTAGGCAGGCCGCTGATCTGCACGCCGACAGTACCGCGCTGTGAGACGGATAAGGTGTCTCAGTTAAATCTCACATCCAGCTGTCTCCTCTCCCCCTCTCATCCGACCCGTGCACACCGGTACTCAGAGGACCACAGTCAAGCTAGAGTCCCGCCAGCAGCAGCAACACGAATAACACTTCCGCCACATATCTTTTCATAATAAAAGCGGTATTACCAAAACAAAGTATAATAAATGTATATCTGCACGAAATATCTATACAACATACAAACACAAGATGATACAAATAAATAAACAAATATATAATATATGTCATCCCAAAAATGCATGTTCCTCATAAATATGGCACCATTTGAAAGGTAAATAAACAGGCTTTCCAACGGTATAAGATGTATAACCAAGAAGCATTGTTACAACAAAGAAATAACAAATGATGCTTACATTAGTGGATTGTTTTCAATATGTCACTTTTTGGTTTAATTGTCGTCTACTCTAAAACATGACATTTTACATCTCATGCTGGCTGGAAAAATGACAACAAAATATTTTGATACAACTTTCCTCTATATATTTTTATTTTACTATTACTCTTAAAAATATGTGTTGTGTGTTTTATTTTAAGTAAAATTGGTGAGTTAAACATTTTTATTCTGAAAAACAATCTCCCGGATGTACATGCCTTTTTAGCGGAAGTTGCAGTAAGCGTGCGGCAGCAACAGGAGCGGTGTGTCTCAGGCGGGTGTAGCTGTTTCTAAGAACTACTCTTGACTGTGGAGGTAAGTTACGTTCCGCAATGCGGATATTATTTGTGAATTATTTGTTGTATAGCTACTTACTATACAATGTTTATGTGAAGTTTACCTAACTCATGAAGCTAACAGTTAGCTTCTGTCCGGTCAGCCTTTTATGACACAACTGATTTTGCCTGAAACGTGGCTGGCAGCCCATATGTTATGTCAGCCGGGGAGACACCAGCAGATACCTCCATACATTCTGTCTATATGGACAGTCCATATAGACAGTATATGGCAGACATACAGTAAGTGCAGCCAGACATAGGGACCTCTCCCATTGAGCAACAACCAATTGATTGGTATGTACAGTATTTTATTTGAGTGATATTTAAAGAATCGATGCACTAAGCGGCTTAGTTCTAAATGAACAGAGGTGGAAGAAGTACTCAGACGTTGTACTTAAGAGAGAATAGATATATTTTGTATGTTTATTTAATCAGCACATCACAATTATTACAATGAATAAGTGGCAAAAAGAAGAATAAGCGGCTAAATGAACTTCTTTCCTTTCCATCAGAAACCCTGTGTGGCAGTATGACCAGTGTGGAGACGGTGACCGCAGTAGGTCAGGTTTTGGTGGACCCAGCAGTGGGCCTGACCCGCCGCTTCAGAGCCTTATTCACCCTGAGGAACCTGGGAGGTACCACATGTCCACCAAACATACAAACACCCATGAACATGTTAAGTAGTCGAAGAGAAGAAATTGCATTAATAATTAAAAACTTTAGCACGAATAACAGCGAGACAAGTTCCCACAGATGCTTTTAGGTCAAACAGCCTTTGAAATTGCTGAGGGAAACATTATTACTTTGTTTCCCTGAGGGGAAGTCAGAGAGAACCGTGTGTTTCGCCCTGCCTAATGACTGGAACATTAGAGCAACATCATTATAGCCTTAGCACGCACACATCTACCCACCATTACCTTTCATAATTTTTTCAAATACACATAAAATACATGAGAGTATTATGAGATGCCAATACCTGCTCACACAAAAAATGATCACACTACTAAATGAATAGAAAATAAAATAGGATCTCTTCAACTTTTCAAATAAATAAAATGACCCAGGAACCCAAAACACACACATATCACACACATAATTTGTATTGTTCTATATAATCCTGCTCCCATGTATAGCTTGTGTCCCCTTTCATGTTATGTTGTGCCAACAGATAGGTTAATTAATGACTGTAAAACACTATCAAAAGTGTTTAGGATGGGCACTTCAAATTAGTAGCGTGTGTAACGTCTGGTCCTGTGTGTCAGGTGCTGAGGCTGTGCAGTGGATCAGTAAGGCCTTCAGTGATGAGTCAGCCCTGCTGAAGCACGAGCTGGCGTACTGCCTGGGACAGATGCAGGACACGAGCGCCATCCCCTCCCTCACTGCAGTACTCAAAGACACACAGCAGGATCCCATGGTCAGGCATGAAGCAGGTAAACACACACGGACACTACAATTACACACACAAATGTGCACTTTACTACAGTACTAAGCTCAGGGCTCGAGCTTAAGGACGTCCCGTTGTCCCGGGGCCGAAAAAAATAGTGTCGGGGAGGATAAAAAATTATTTTGGGACGAGATGAACAGCGATGAAAATGAAACTGACTGCACGTTCTGTGTAGCACACAGTTATTAAACCTCCTTGTCAACATAATCGCGTGTGCAGCGCCATTTATCTATTATATGGCTCTGAGTGTGTGTATTTCGCGGGTTGAGTGATGTACAATGACAATGGCATCCCGTGGAGGAATTCTGAAATGTTTTAGCGTTACATCACAAAAACGCACAGCAGAACCAGACCCTGGAGCCCTGGCCTCTTTATTTACTTACTCCTCTTCATCCCCTATGGGTAATAACAAGGCTGAGATGAGAACCCTCCATTGTATTTAGTCCTTAGCTATATGCTGCGCCTCTCCCCATGTAGGGGTGGGTACCGAGCCCCGGTATTAAACGGTCCCCGGGCCGGAATTATTAAAGACAGTGGTAATGTTAAGCTCCGACGTTATCTGACTTTTTATCGGCACTGGAGACATTTAAAAAATATGTCATATGTAGTATTGCTACATAAACATTATATGGCAGTTTTAGTTTCGCCAACTCCGTTTCTAATATGCAATAAGACTACAACATGCGTCTATGATGTATTTTCGAGAGTTCTAATCCAGACGAGATCTCTCTCTCCCGTATGTGTGCGAGGGGGAGGGGCAGTTTGTAGAGGTCTCCTGACTGTTACAGACTGTCATCCTGGTTAGTGGTTACTCTGGGTTCTGTCTTCAGGACAGAGTGTTGGATTTTTTTGTTAATTGGATGGGACTTGATTGGATTCAATAGAGTAATTTTTCTCGTTTGTGTGTTTGTTTAAATATATTTGGCCTTTGTTTATGTGATTGACTGATTTACTCAAATAAAAAGGTTGATGAATTATCATCTAATGATTTGTATGATGTTTTATTTATGTTAAAGCTCACTTTGAATGATTCTAGCTAATGATAATGTAGAAAAACTAATATTTTAAATGTCGGGACGGTCCACATTAATTTCGGGACGGCTTAGATTGTATTTCGGGACGGTTCCGGGAGGATGGTGAAAAAAGTTAGTCGAGAGCCCTGACTAAGCTGCGTCTTCAACCTAAAATAACTTCACGGAAACGAGACAAACAGCCTTTTCAGCAACAGAAAATGTTCAGATGATCACAGTATGAAGAAAATAATACACGTATTTGCTGTTAGTAATGGACATAATACAACTGCCTGAGCTGCTGCATTAGAACTCTGTGTGTCTGTCTGTCCCTAGGAGAGGCTCTGGGGGCGATTGGTGATCTTGTGGTTCTGGACTTACTGAAAGAGTATAGTCAGGATCCCGTGATAGAGGTAAGAGCAAAACGGGTATCCTGTTACTAGCAAGGCACTGCTATCAGGCGAATAAATACTAAAAACACTAGATGATTTCCCTAATTTTAGGGTCACAATTAAATATGCATTGGAAGACAAGAATCAAGGCTGTTTCATTGCTGGAGTTATTTAAATTATATGATATTTCATTTAATGTGAGCTAAACAAGGAATTCATTCACTCTAATCCTCCATTTCCCTGTGTGTTGCTTGAGTTTCTTGTCCCTGAAACAGTACAAAAATGTCAATCAAAGCTAATGTATGAAGGAATAAGAGTGAGTCTTATTGTAAATGTAGGTAGCAGAGACGTGTCAGCTGGCTGTGCGTCGTCTGGAATGGCTGCAGACCAGAGGAGAGAAGCAGCTGGACGATGGGAGCACAGATGAGAACCCTTACTGCTCTGTGGACCCCGCCCCCCCGGCAGAGAGGAAGAGTGTGTCAGAGCTGCGCATCGCCCTGTTGGATGAGACTCTGCCACTCTTTGAACGCTACCGTGCCATGTTCGCACTGCGTAACCTTGGCAACAAGGAGGCTGTGCTGGCACTGGGAGACGGTAGGAAACAATACTACCACTTCCTGTTTAATATACGCATCATAGTTTATAACATAGCTGTTTTAGTCATTTAATAATATGTAGTTTCTCTGCAGTGTTTGTCTCGCCTGACTGACTTTTTCTTTTTTTAACTCTTTTTATTTCCAGATTTGACAAAAATAGAATATAAACAGTACTGTAGCAATGAATAAGTACATCAGTAGCAAATACACTTTAGGACAAAGGTGAATACATTTGCATACAATATATCACAGTAACACACGTAGGGTGCATAACCCTCTAGTGAAGCTCGAAGGAAACAGAAAAAAGTAAATACAACTACAAAGAAACTATTAAAATAAAAACAGAACAATTTTAAAACACGGCTACAACCAAGTAGGATATCAGGCAATATTATGGTAGCATCACTGTTTTCCTTAACCAAAATATATTATAAAGTTATTAGGGATGCACCGAATATTCGGCCGCCGAAAATGGTTAAAAAGGCCCCTTTCGGCTTTCACCAATATCACCGAATGTCAGAGAACAGGGTTACGTTGGTAAGCTAACGTGTTGTTGTGATGACGTAATCAAAACGCGGCGACAAGCACGGCGCGCGACCATGCTCGCGGCTGGCTCACACCCAACATGTCTGCCGCTTGGAGATATTTCAAAATATCAGAGAAAGAGGCGCGGATTGCGATTTGTAAAACGTGTTCAGCTGACATTTCTCGAGGGGGTGTAACTGCAAAGACTTTCACCACTTCGGGATTACTCCTCACCACTTGAAATCAAAACACCCGGACAAATATGCGGAGTATGATCAATGTAACCCTGTTCTCTGACATTCAGTGATATCTTTTCGGTGCTAAAACCGAAAGCCGAAAGGGCCTTTTTAACCAATTTCGGCCGAATATTCGGTGCATCCCTATATTTTACAGACTGCTCTGCTTTCTGCACGGACCTCACAGCTGTTCTCTCTGTAAACACCGCGTCGCGATGAAAGCAGTTACTAAAATAATATCCAGGGTATGCATGCAGAGCTATCATTGGCTGAGATCAGTCCGGCCGTGCGTCACGCCTCCACCGTTCCCGGAAATGCATCCGCGGAAGAGCTGTGGAGGACCCATCAGTGTCTCCTCGGTTAGAGCTCCTCCAGAGAGCCTCCTCGATGCTCGGTCCTCGATGTGCGTTTAGAGAAATGAGATGTCCTTCAACATGGCGCGCTGAAATCCATTTCCGGGTCACTACCGGAGGACCGAGGAGTCGAGGAGGGGAAATTAGAGTATTGAGAAACCTCTATTGTCCCTTTTTTGCTCCGTAAAGCTCCGTGTTGTGATGTCTGTGTTTGCTTCCCCTGTCTCGTGTTCAGATCGCTTGGTGATGATATTTATACCCCTAGAATCTGTGGAATCTCAGCTTGCTAATCGATATCTTGTTTGTGCAGAGCCGATATGTAATAAGGGTATCTTAACCTAGAGTTCTGTGCTAAGTGTGTTAGCATTTTTTCGCTCATTCTTGTGAGACTTGTGTTTTGTTTCGGTAAAGATGGTTCGTATCGTCAGTTAGCTGAGTTTCTTCCCGTTAAGTTGGTATGACACATTAATAGGTTTTTAAATGTTAAGAAGCCCTGAGACACAGTTTCGTGAAGAAAAACGAAACCCACAGCCCCCACGAGCGGGGGCCTCAGGGTTGAACAGGTTAAGTGGTCAAGATGTTGCTAAAGGTAAAACGTGGAGAAACAAACAAATAGGTTAAACTGGATGAAGTCAGCTTCTCAGACTTCATACTTGCAGGTAAGTTCTGTCTGTGTTGTTCAAAGTCATTGAAGGGGTAGTAAAAGCCGTTGTGTTAATTGTTTATTGTTATGCTTCAGTGCAAAAGAAGTTTCTCATACCAGAAAATAAAGTGCTGATGAGCAAGGCATAGAGGTGGATGAGGATGTCTTTCCTGAACTTGCAACAGTCCAAGACATATGTTTTGTCATCTATACTGATTATGTTAAGGTGATATTTCTGGGTTTTGTTGCAGAAATGCTTTGAGAGATTTGTATTTTCTATCTGTATGAGACAGGTTGTTAGATATTCTGTACTAGCCAATAACAAACACCAATCACATAACAGTTGGCGTAGTTTTGGCACAATTCTGTTGTACGGTCCTGCTACTGAGTTTTTGGGATAATACTTGCATACAAATCTTAAAATGCCTTCAGGTTTGTAAAATATATAATATGTGGTAAATTCAACAGTGGATCCTTAGTGACACAAGTGAAGTTACACATTTCAGATGTTTGCCGCGCACCTGCGTACCAGTTATGTACTGCCCTGGTAATACGTACTTAATTCTCAGCAGCTTGCTGATAAAAGGGATCATTTCTGATATTTTCATTAAGAAAAACACATTTACATTATTTTTCATTACAAATAGGGAGGACTAGATGTGATGTCAGTTGGACTTTAAAGTTCATGGAATAGGGGTAAATGCATCACCAACACTGTGTTTGATCACAAACATAACTCTGATATTTGGCGACTTGGTACCAGAGGATGAATTACACTGGCACTTATTGCTCTTCTTGCTGAACATTATAAACATTGTGTTCTCATACTCTATCACCGAAGAGAGGACTGTGTATTTAAAGCACCTTATCATTGAACATCACCGACCTTTTAAAGAACTGTACCCTTCAAACGTGATTCCAAAACATAATTTCATGGTCCACTATCCGAGGTGCACTCGAACAATTGGGCCACTCATTCATATCTGGACTATGAGATTTGAAGCGAAACACACATTTTTCAAAGACTGTGTCAAGAACTTCAAGAATTTGACAGTATCCCTTGCGAAAAAACACCAGTTTGCATTAGCTTATCATTGGGTCTAAATCCAGTCAAAATGTGTGTACTTGAAACGCAAGAATAAGCAGAAGATATATCTGCCTAGCTCATCATTGATTCACAAGCCACTGTCAAACTCACAAGCTGGGTAAAGTGTTGTGGAGTTGAATGTTGAGTTGGCCTCTTTGTTTTTACAAGAACAGAGGAAAACATGCCAGTGTTCAGCAAAATCACCTGTATCATTCTTCACGATGGAAAAGTTATTTTTGTTTTGGTTGAGTATGAAACTTGTTTCCATGACCATTTTCATGCTTTCCAAATAAGTGAAAAAATCTCCAGGAAGATACTTGTCCTAGAAAGAGAAGGATTAAGACATTTCAAACCTTTTGATTCCCAAATGTCATATGGGTATGATTCACATTTTGATGTTGTGTCAGAGAGTTGTATTATTTAATTTGCCAACATTGATGGCTCATTGGAATGTTTCCTTTCTTATTTTGAACATGTACAGGACTGTCTCAGAAAATTAGAATATTGTGATAAAGTTCTTTATTTTCTGTAATGCAATTAAAAAAACAAAAATGTCATACATTCTGGATTCATTACAAATCAACTGAAATATTGCAAGCCTTTTATTATTTTAATATTGCTGATTATGGCATACAGCTTAAGAAAACTCAAATATCCTATCTCTAAATATTAGAATATCATGAAAAAGTATACTAGTAGGGTGTTCAACGAATCACTTGAATCGTCTAATTAACTCGAAACACCTGCAAGGGTTTCCTGAGCCTTGAAAAACACTCAGCTTGGTTCAGTAAACTAAATCACAAGTATGGGGAAGACTGCTGATCTGACTGCTGTCCAGAGGACCGTCATTGACACCCTCCATCAGGAGGGTAAGACACAAAAAGAAATTTCTCAAAGAGCAAGCTGTTCACAGAGTGCAGTTTCAAAGCACATCCACAAAAAGTCTGTTGGAAGGGGGAAATGTGGCAGGAAACGCTGCACAACCAAGAGAGATGACCGCAG